ATCATCCCTGTCAAATAATACCATGTGGGACACATTCGTTTTTTCTTCGCGCGCGCACGCCGGAATCTTCAAAAATCATTGGGTTTCTTAGGAATTTTAGCACCGCGCAACATAAAATCATACGAATCGCACCGTAGGTTCTCGAAAAACATCTGTACGAATTTTCAAAATTTCTACCCGCGCGCGCTGTCCGAATCCTTAAAAACCAATGGTTTTTCAACATTTATGTTATAGAGCTCGCGCGAGCTGTTTTCGCAAGCTCTTTCAACGGCGTTCGCGCGCCTGCCAGGGGCCACAATCCCTTGCAAAAAATATCATGCGGGACACATGCGCGCGTCGTCGCGTCGTCGTTGTCGGCATGGTACCACAACAAGTCAGTGTGTCACCACGTCATCGAACAAAATCACTGATCACTGTCACATCCGTAGCCATCTCGGATCAAGGTATCGCCTGTGTTCTTGGATGGGTCATGGCTTTGTCGGCGAAAGCCCTTGACGAGCAGTATGGCCCAGAGCTGTCGCGGCCTCCCTTGGCCGACTGCGGCAGCCCGTTTTATTTGCATCAGGCGCTCGTTGCAAAGGGTATCCAGGTCAGTCACCAGGCGTGCAAGGTTTGGTGGGTCAAGTATCGGGTTGTGCCTGGCAAGGTCAGTATTTCTAGCGCCAAGGAGCTGGAGGAGCAGCACGGCTCTGCCATCCGCCATCTGGGCATCGAGTATAATACAGCTTTCAAATTATGTGGGGCGCTCCGACGGTTGGATCCACCACTGTATGTGTCAAATCCGGTCGCAACGGCGTGGCTACTGCAGTATTCTTCCAAAGAGACGCTTGTCATAGTGCAGAACGCTGGCCATTTGGAGACCTGGTATGGAGAACGTATTCGCACAGACATGCCCGAGGGGACTACTGACGGGGCCGTCTTGAAGCAGTGGCTCCTGGGACATTTATCTGTATCTGCTGACGCCAGGATATGCCAGAAGTGGCTCAGCACTGAGTGGGGCGCCAAGGGAGCATTCAATACTGCCCAAGCTGTGGGGGAATGTATAGGCCAGCGTCTTCGACTCAATCAGTATCGGTATTGGCGCCCCACGCGCGCACGGGCGATGTATCCGCGAGGAGGCGTATCGGCACAATGCTTGGACACTTGGCCCCTGATGTATTGCTGCCAGGAGCGCAGCTTGCAGTATTGCGCCCGATGCGCGCCATTAGAGACAGGCGTATGCCAGAAGATGATGAGCACAAAGACTCGTCTCTTTAGTATGTCTCCAGAGCACGTGTGTGTCCAGAGCCGCCGCGCCTTGTCCTGCTCCTCCTCCTCCTCCTCCTCCGGCGGGGGGCGTGAGGATCCGGCATCGCTGACAACCATCGGGACAACAATCGGGACCACCATCGGAACAACCATCGGGACAACCATGGGGACAACCATCGGGGCAACGATCGGGACAACCACAACCATCAGGACAACCATCGGGACAACCATCGGGACAACGATCGGGACAACGATCGGGACAACCACCGGGGCAACCATCGGGAGAACCATCGGAACAACAATCGGGACAATCATCGGGACAATCATCGCGACAACCATCGGGACAACCACAACCATCAGGACCTCCAACCAGAGAGAGCTAGTCACGTGTATTTCGTAGACGAATGAGCCAGTATTGCACATTGAGGCCGGAACGACAACCACAGAACAATAATGAACATGTATCGTTTCACAACAACGGAAACAAGTCCTGTGGTATGCTGGCGCCACGCACGTGGTACCGCTCAAAATAAGTGTCTTCGCTTGTGTGGTACAGAAACGGAAAAACGTCGGAAAACGGTACAGGTGTCCAGTGTTGGAACAGGGGGAAAAGTCGTATACTAAGCTAGCTTCCACAAAATGTTACCACAACAAGTCACTGTACCCATGCGCCAGTGTAGTAGCCAAGGTCGTCCGCAGGCCACGAAGTGAAGTGTCCGAACGTCATAGGGCGGGAAGCTGGGTGTGGGTGGTGGCGAAGAGTCGTTTGGAAACTTGGTAGAGCTTGAACCGGCCCCCCCACAAAGTGGGGGTATTGCCCGCCTCCTATGAAAACCCTGGCACTGGTGAGAACGGAGTGTCCCCAGTCTTAAATGATTGTTGTTGTTGTTGTTGTTGTTGTTGTATTCTCATGTCTAAAAAACAAGTGTCGGTGGTCCCCCTGGGTGCACATGGGATTTTTCAATTGAAGTGCCCCTCCCAGGGCTCGCACCCTGTGTTTTCCCAACCATCTTGTGGTGTGCGCCAGCCACACCTAGTAAAGAGCTTCGTGGCCCCATAGGGAACTCCGCGTAAGGACCCCCGCCCGTGGGGGTACCACATGCGTTTGCCACACCCAGTACAGCGTTTCGTGGCCCCATACGGAGCTCCACCGACGGCCCTAAGGGGGGTGTACCACATGCGTCTGCCACACCCAGTACAGCGTTTCGTGGCCCCATAGGGAGCTCCACCTAAGGCTCCAGTGGGGGGTACTACATGCGTCTGCCACACCCAATACGGCGTCTCGTGGCCCCATAGGGAGCTACACCTAAGGCCCCAGTGGGAGGTACCACATGCGTCCGCCACACCCAGTACGGCGTTTCGTGGTCCCATGGGGAGCTCCACCGAAGGCCCCAGTGGGGGGTAGGTACCACATGCGTCTGCCACACCCAGTACAGCGTTTCGTGGCACTTTCACCCACCCATTACAGCGCTTCGTGGCCCCATAGAAAGCTCCACCGCAGCCCCTAATGGGGCCGCCCGCGTGCGTCCCGCACACGCAATTTCACATTTTCACCCGCCCAGTGCAGCGTTTCGTGGGCCGATAAGGAGCTCCACCGATGTCCCCAGTTGGACCGTCCGCATGCGTCCCGGAAACCCAATCTGGCAGTTTCACCCACCCAGTACAGCGTTTGGTGGCCCAATTGGGAGCTCCACCGACTCCCCCAGTGGGACCGCCCACATGCGTTCCAATTTGGCATTTTCACCCACCCATGACAGCGTTGCGTGGTCCCATAGGGAGCTCCACCGAAACCCCCAGTGGGACCGTCCGCGTGCGTCCCATACACCAAATGTGGCATTTTCAGCCACTTAGTGCAGCGTTTCGTGGCCCCATAGGGAGCTCCACCGGCGGCCCCAGTGCTACCGCCCACATGCGTTCCCCCCCATCCAGTGCAGCGCTTCGTGGATCCATTAGGAGCTTCACCGAAGAAGATCTTCACAATTGCGGTACCCACAACTGCATCTGGTTGGGTCCTTCGCCAGGATTATTTATCAGGGAGCGTCTTGAGCCACAAACTGCGCCCCCAGCCCCCGAGTTACAACGACAACGGCCGACTCCGCCTGATATTTCCTTACAATTTATTGAGAAGTCAGGCTCTCGCGCGGGACGTCCTCCCACTCTATACAGGCATCGCGCTCTCGCGTGGGATTTCCTTACTATTTATTCAAACGCCGCGCCCTCGACACTCAGGAATCACGCTCTCACTGTGGACCTGCTGACGATTTACTTGGGAATCGCGCTATCGCTAGAGACTTCCTCACGATTCATGCATGACGCACGCTTCAGCAACCCGCCTGCTCGACCTGGCCGCCTGGGCCCGCCTTCCCGACCCGCCCGTTAGGGTCTACCCGCCCGCTCTGCCCGTCTGGTTCTGTCACGTGTTTTCTGTTCCGAACCCCCCTCCTGCCACTCTCTCGTGCTCCATCCTCCTCCCCCTTGTCCCTTCCTTCCGTCCGTCCTCTCTTCCCCTACCTTAGGGGCTGCACGAAATGCACGTTGCAGGTAAGAAAGATCTATCCTCCCAAGGGGGGTACGATCGAAGACGAAGAGGCGGGTACCGAGGGTTTGGGATAGTGTTGGCTGGCCCGCGAGCAGATTAGAGCGAATGGTTGTGGTTGTTGTTGTCGTTGTCGTTGTCGTTGTCGTTTTTGTTGTTCCCCCCTCCCCTCCGGGGACGCCCTCGTGGCCGCGGCTGGACTCGGGGCCCCCGAACGGGTGGTGACCACACCGCGAGGTGAGTCAGTGGGGATTCGGTGTCACCACGCGGTTTTGGAACTCGAGTCGCTCTCCGAGGACGTCTCGAGCGACTGGGGCCTCCGAGGGGTCCCAAAACCGTGCGGCGACGGACCGCGCGGTGAGGTCGTGGGGGATTCCGGGGTCACCACGCAGTCCCACACGGGTCCGGGGCCCCGAGTGGACGCGTGCGACTCGGACATTTTCCTGGATGGGCCTCTGAAGGGGGCCTGGGGCCCGGCTCAGAGCGCGTCGTTGGGCCAGCGACGGGGCGAGGGCGGCGGCTGTTGCTCTGCGAGAGGCCGGGGGGGGGCTTCTGAAAACCGCTGCCGCCCTCCAAGAAGCCTGCTGAGAAGCCTCTGCTTAGCTGCCCTGATACTGCTGTGTTGAAACGCAACGCGTGCAAGACGTCCGTGTTAACACGCTGTATGTTGGCTCAGCGTGTTGGCGCACGTTTTGGCGAACGTATCGAGCAAAAACGTATGTCTTCGATCTCCGTGTTGAGCTCCGTGTCAACACGCTACGGGTTGCCTGTTGCGTATTGGGGCAGCTAAGAACTTCTGGACCCTTCTGCCTTCTCAGAAGGCCGCCCCTCGCGGCGCTGGAATGGGATGTGGTCGTCTGGTGGCCGTGTGGCTGTGAGCGTCTTTGGGCCTTCTCGAGGCTGTCTGGGGGCTTCTCAGGGCCCTCTTGGGCGAATTTGGGTCATCTCTGGGCACCTTGGATTAATGCTGGATTTTGAGGCCACGCGCTCCTGCTTGGGGCCATCTCGGAGCACCTTGGAGGATGGGGGGATTGAAATTTCGATGCTCTGCTATCTCGTTTCAGAGTTTCTGGTGAATGGGGCACATGGGCCTTCCTTTTGCCCCGATCCTCTTCCCTTTGCTTCTCCTCCCCTCCCTCCCTTGTCTTCCTTGTCACTCATTCCGCTTTCTGAGACCCTTGAATCAGCATGCTCAGCAATCCTCTTGACCCCCCAGGCACGAAGAACTCGCATGAGTGCACGCTCATCCTCACCGAGGGCGACTCGGCCAAGTCCCTGGCGGTAGCAGGACTGGCATCTCTCGGCGCAGCGCAGGAGAAGGAGGAGGAGGAGGAGGAGGATCAAGGAGGAGGAGGAGGAGGATAATATGGAGTCGGAGGAGGAGGATCAGGATGATAATGGTAATGATGATGATGATGATGATGATGATGATGATGATGATGATGATGATGATGATGATGATGATGATGATGACGATGGTGATGATGATGAGGAAGAGGCGGAGGAGGACCAGTGTACTTCAAGAGTCTTCAACGATGTTGGAACGACCCCTCCCTCCAAGCTCCCTCGTCATAGGCCCCTACAACGGTTCATTTCCATTGAGGATTCTGCCTCGTTGGAAGACAACGGTTTGAATTGCTTGAAGTCTGCTAAAGCATTGCTCTCGGGATTCCAACGCCAAGGATAAACCTGACTGTTGCGTCTTGACGATCATGAATCTTGCCAGAATGTCATTCCTGGGACCTCAAAAACGCGAATCACGGTTTCTGTTGCGCCCGCATAATCCCGACTCCGTCCCAAAAGAACATTTCTGGTACGTTGATTATGGGAATCCGTGAACCTCTTGCACATTTAATGGGCGAATGTGCGCGGCGCTAAGGCGAGAGCCACATTTTGAAAACGAACCGCCCTCAACCCGTGAAACTTTTGCAAGTTTTGAAACGAACGTGCGCGGCGCTAAGGCAAGAGCCACATTTTGAAAGCGACTCGCTTGCGATCCGTGCAACTCCGGTATTTGTTTAACGAATGTGCGTGGCGCTAAGGCGAGAGCCACAAAATTGAAAACGACCCGCCCTCCATCTGTGAAGCTGTTGCCAATTTCTCAACTTCAGAGTCATAAGTGGTGAGGAAGTCTCAGGTGAAACCACCCGCTCGCCCTACACTGGTCTCGGGGTGCGACAGGACAACTTTTTATCATAAGGAACGGAGGAGGAGGAGACGGAACAAGAGGAGGAGGAGGAGGAGGAGGAGGAGAAGGAGGAGGAGGAGGCGGATGAGGAGGAGGAGGATGAGGAGTAGGAGGAGGATGAGGAAGAGGAAGGAGGTGCAGGGTGGGAGTTGGAGGGAAATGCGCCATCTGGACGAGCTGGAGGAGGAGCATGGGGAGCAAGGTGATCAGGAGCAGGAGGCGGATGATGATGATGATGACGATGATGATGCTGATGATGATGAGGATGATGATGCTGATGATGATGCTGCTGCTGATGCTGCAGATGACGATGACGATGATGATGATGAAGATGAAGATGAAGATGATGCTGATGATGATAATAGCAATAATAATATGGAGGATCAGGAGTATGAACATCAATATGAGCAGGAGGAGAAACCGCAGGAAATACACGAGGGGTTTGACGACCGAGGAGGGGGAGGCGGAGGAGGAGGAAGGGGAGGAGGAAGAGGAGGAGAAGGCGGAGAAGGATGATGATGATGATGCTGATGATGCTGCTGCTGCTGATGATGATGATGATGATGATGATAATAAGGAGGATCAGGAGTATGAACATCAATATGAGCAGGAGGAGAAACAGCAGGAAGTACACGAGGGGTTTGACGACGGAGGAGGGGGAGGCGGAGGAGGAGGATGAGGAGGAGGAAGAGGAGGAGAAGGCGGAGAAGGATGATGATGACGATGATGCTGATGATGATGCTGCTGCTGATGATGATGGTGCTGATTATGATCATGATGCTGATGAGGATGATAATGATGATGATGCTGATGACGATGTTGCTGACGGTGATGGTGATGGTGCTGATGATGATTGCCATGATGATGCTGATGATGCTGACGATCATGATTATGGTGATGATGATGCTGATCATGGTGATGATTGTTATGACGATGATGATGAATGATGGTGATGGTGGTGTTGATGGTGATGCTGATGCTGATGATACTGTTGATGATGATAATGGTGATGCTGTTGGTGATGATGATGGTGATGCTGATGGTGGTGATGATGACAAGGACGGTGATGCTGATGATGCTGATGATGATGATGATGATGATGGCGATGACGATGCTGATGCTGCTGATGATGATGATATTCATGATGATGGTTCTGATGGTTGTGATGATGATGACGTTGATTAGGATGGTGATGGTGATAATGATGATGCTGATTGTGATGATGCTGCTGCTGATTATGTTGAGGATGCAGCTGCTGCTGCTGATGAGGATGATGAAGAAGATACCGACTGTGACGATGACGATGACGACGCCAACGACGACGATGACGAGGATGGTGATGATGAGGATGGTGATGATGATGAGGATGCTAATGCTGATGCTGATGTTGATGATGCTGACAATTCTGTTGTGGTTGTGGCAGAATAGTTGCACGATGATGATGCTGCTGCTGATGCTGCTGATGTTGAAGATGATGATGCTGATCATAAGGATGAAGGGTTGAATGATCACTGGGACGAGTTAGGATAAGGATGAGCACACACATCTTGATAATGACGATGATGTGCACCACGAGCGGCATTAGCCAGCGTCTTGACGTTGATGGCCGCGACGGCGGCGATGGTGACTGGCGCCGTGCGCCGCGCCCCTGTGAGCGCAAGCCACCGTCAAACCCTGCCGCTCGCAAGCGCCTCGGCCCTCCCAGTCCGACGTCGTGATTCCTTCACAACGTGGCTCTCCAGAGGTGTGGACCCCTTCCCCAGGATAGGTTTTTCATCCCGAGTCGTCTTTTGACCGTCCTGGAGCCCAGTGAGGGCCCCCGGAGGCCGAGAACGAGCCAAAACCTTGCGTCTTGATTCTTAGCGTCGAGAGGCTGTCAGGGCTTCTTTCCCGCTGCGCCACTGCCGCGGCCCGGCCGTCTCGCCACGGCGGCCCTGGCGGCCCCAGGGCGGGCCGCTCTCGCCTCGCCCGATGCGCGTTGTGCGCGGAAGAGCCGTCCAGCGCCCTGCCGCGCCCCGCGCGCTTGCCCCGCCGAGGCTGACGGGAGCCGCTCGGAGCGGGCCTCTTCGCTCCTCGCTTCCCAGATCTCCGACGTTTTGTTGTTGTTGTTGCTGCTGCTGTTGCTGTTGTTGTTGTTGTTGTTGTTGATGTTGTTGTGGTGGTTGTGGTTGTTGCTGTTGTTGTTGATGATGTTCTTGTTGTTCTTGTCGTCGTCGTCGTCGTCGTCGTCGTCGTCGTTGTCGTTGTCGTTGTCGTTGTCGTTGTCGTCGTTGTTGTTGTTGTTGTTGTTGGTGTTGTTGTTGTTGTTGTTGTTGTTGTTGTTGTTGTTGTTGTTGTTGAAGTTGTTGAAAAGTCATTTCTAGAGCATGATTTTGCTAATCTCCGGAAGCAGTTCCGCGCGTTCTCGCCTCGACGCAAGTTACATTTTCTAAATAAGAGAGAGCTCCCGCTCGAGTGTTGGCTGTAGTGTAAAAGTGGGCCCTGAGAGGCCTGGCTACGACGACAACGGCTCCCGTTCGATACTTCCTCAACTTACCCCGAGACACCCTGGCCAGAGAGGCCCCCGATCTCAGGAATGTCGCTCTCGCTCGAGACTTCCTCGCAATTCAGTCAAGTTGGTGGAGGCCCAGCCACGACGACAAGGGCTCCTGCTCGATAATTCCTCACGATATACTCCGAGAGCCCCTGGCCAAGAAGGCCCCTGAACTCAAGAGTGGCGCTCGCGCTCGAGATTTTCCCGTAATTCAGGCAAGTTGGTGGAGGCCCGGACACGGCGACAAGGGCTCCCGTTCGATATTTCTCCATAAGTATTCCGAGAGCCCCTGGCCAGAGAGGCACCCGAACTCAGGAACGGCGCTCTCGCTCGAGACTTCTTCGCACTTCAGTCAGTGGCCGACAAGGAAGAGATTCCCTCCGACAGGGGGTGCAATCGAAGAGGAAGTGGGCGGGTATCGAGGGTTGAGGTATCCGGAGTGCAAGACACGCGTGCCAGTAAGAGCGAACAGTCTTCAACTGATTGTTATTGTTATTGTTATTGTTATTGTTATTGCCGCTGTTGTTGTTGTTGTTGTAATTGTTGGTGTTGTTGTTGCTGCTGTTGCTGTTGCTGTTGCTGTTGCTGTTGCTGTTGTTGTTGTTGTTGTTGCTGTTGTTGTTGTTGTTGATGTTGTTGCTGTTGCTGTTACTTTTGTTGCTGTTGCTTTTGTTGCTGTTGTTGTTGTTGCTGTTGTTGTTGTTGTTGTGGTTGTTGTGTTTTTTTTTTTTTTTTTTTTTTTTGTTTGTCGTTGTTGTTGTTGTTGTTGCTGTTGTTGTTGTTGTTGCTGCTGCTGCTGCTGCTGTTGTTGTTGTTGTTGTTGTTGTTGTTGTTGTTGTTGTTGTTGTTGTTGTTGTTGTTTTTGTTTTTGTTGTTGTTGTTGTTGTCGATTTTTTTGTTCAGGCTTGGCGTTATCCTTGATTTCGGCCTCCGGGGCGGGCCCTGGATGCAAGACTACCCCTGGGGAGGGGTTGGGACCTCTGTAGGGTTGCGCATTCAAAAGATCGTACCCAGAGATCCGAGGCTCTGAACAAATCAGAGCAGCCAGTTTTGGGGTATTTTCGGCCTGCGGGGGCTCTCAACGGGCCCTGGGACCGTCAAGAACGACTCAGGATCAAAAGCCGGCCCTCGGGAAGTGGTCCAGACCCCGGGGGGTCCACGCATCGAACGAGTTGGAGCGTCGGATGTCCGGGTATCAGCGGGTGTTTGGGTTCCTGGGACTTCGGGGGAGGCCTCCTCGTCGCCACGGCCGGGCGCAGCTCGATACAAGCTGGCTGGGAGTCGCGCCGCTCATCGCGGGCCTCCTCGTTGTCCTGGCCTCCTGGGCTCTTCGGGGAGGGCCTCCTCGCCGCCACGGCTGGGCGCAGCTCGATGCGCTGGCCGGGAGTCGGGGGTGGTGCTGCAGTGACCGCTGGGACTCGCAACTGCGCAAGAGTTGCTGGGTGGTTGCAGCCCACTTGCCAGGCACCTGCAACCCACTTGCAGGCGCCTTGCAAGTGGGGTGCAACCCCCTTGCCACTGTGTGCGACTGCTGCAAGTCGAACCGACCACTGCCGTGGGTCCCCCGAGGGCCTCCAGGCCGCTGGCCAGAGACGGCTCGGGCTGGCTCGGAGTCGGTCCCCAGACCCTGGCCGGGTTCCCTCCTGGCCCGTCCTCCGAGGGGGATCTGGCCGCGGCGACGAGAAGCCTCCAGGAGGCCCAGGGAGGATGAACAGCGCCAGGGACGGCCGCCGCGGTCTTGGCTGGCCCTCCTCCGGGGAGAGCCCCCGAGGGTGGCGGCGGTGCAGGTTGTCTCGCAATGCCAGCCGATGTGTGAGCCGTGGGAGGCTTGTCGATCGCCTCGTTGCTTGCTGGGGAGAAAAACTCATGCGGGGAAAGCCCCGAGGCGTCCATGGCCCGTTTCCCTCGGGGCCCCTCTCCCTGAAGGCGGCAGGCTCTCTACCGCGCCCGGCCGGCGGGCGCCCAGCCACGCGGCGTTGCTGGAGGCCCCTGGAGGCATCGTTTGCCTCTTCGCCTTCGCTCTCGCCGTCCGTAACTGCGGCGCCGCCCTGCGTCGCAAAAGCCTGCTTCCCCTCTGCCCATGCGTTGGACGCCTTCAGTGCCCCCAGTGTCGGCTTGCCCCCGACGCAAGCCTAGAGCAGTCAGGTCTTCTGGATGCTCACGTGCACGAGCGTGATTTCCCCGAGCGTCATGGGAGGAACCACGCAATTCCACAACTGTGCAAAGGGGGGCTCGGCAGCAGGAGGAACAGGCGGGGGTGGGGGGACCAATCGATCAAGTCATTGTGCCTGTCAGGACTCGCCGTCGTAGGACGGGACAAGTACGGTGTCTTTCCCCTCAAGGGCAAGGTTCTCAACGTGCGGGATGCAAACTTCAATCAGGTCACCGGCAACCAGGAGATCCAAAACCTCTTGAAGATCATGGGGCTCGACATCAAGCGCGAGTATGATTCCGTCAAGGGCCTTCGCTACGGATCGATCATGCTGATGACGGATCAAGACGCCGATGGTTCGCACATCAAGGGTCTCCTCATCAATCTAATTCAGTATTGGTGGCCAAACTTGGCGAGGCACTACGGCTTCATGAAGGAATTTGTCACTCCCATTGTAAAGGTATGGAAGGAGGGCAAGAAGAGCGAAGACCGCAAAGACGAGAAGGTGTTTTTCACGCTCACGGAGTACGAGAAGTGGAAGAAGAGGACCAACAATGGCAAAGGTTGGAAAACGAAGTACTACAAGGGTTTGGGAACCAGCACTGCGAAGGAGGCGAAGGAATATTTCAAGGACATCGAGAGTCACGAACTGTCCTTCCGCTGGCACGACGAGGAGGATGACGCTGCAATCGACTTGGCCTTCAACAAGAAACGAGCAGATGACCGCAAGGAGTGGATTAACAGCTACGTGGAGGGGGCCCACGTTGACCATTCCCAAAGCAGCCTCACGTACCATGACTTCATTCATAAGGAGCTCGTGCAGTTTGCCAAGTACGATACTTCTCGCTCCGTGCCTTCTGTTGTCGACGGCTTCAAGCCCTCTCAGCGCAAGGCGCGCCTCTTTTATCAAGTTTCCTGTTTTGGGTGAAGGTGTTCCAGGAGGATTGCAGAGAGGGGTGAGGAGGAGGAATGGCGCATGGAACCAGGGAGGAGGAGGAGGAGGAGGAGGAGGAGGAGGAGGAGGAGGAGGAGGAGGAGGAGGGGGGGGAGGAGGAGTAGGAGGAGTAGGAGTAGGAGGAGGAGGAGGAGGAGGAGGAGGAGGAGGAGGAGGAGGAGGAGGAGGAGGAGGACGAGGAGAAGGAGAAGGAGCAGGAGGAGAGGGAAGAGGAGGAGGATGAGGAGGCGGGCTCTACTGGTCAGGAGGGTTCTCGAGATGGCAATTTCGAGGGTCCCGAGCATTGTCAACTTTGCAGAAAGTGAGCCCCGGCCTCCAGAATGGAAGAATCAAGCCTCTGGGATCGAGTTTGGAACTTCGTTCTCTGGGGGACAAGGAGAAGGTTTAGAGTTTCAGGTGGTTCTAGAGTGGAGTGTATCAGGGTCCATGGAGGGGAGGAAGGGCGGGTTGGAGGAAGGTAGAGGATAAAGCTGACATTGGCAATGATAAGGGAGATAGGAGGAGGAGGAGGGATGTGGAGCGGAGGCTGACGGAGCAAGGAGAGGACAGTAGCGCGGTACAGCCCAGAACGTCGAAATAGCCAGCAGGTCCAGTTTGGTCGGCAAGACAAGATCAGGGGCGCCAGTAAGGGTAAATCGCCCGTGGAAGGACATTGGCCCCCCATCGCCCATCCACCGCAGATTGGGGCTTGGGTGCCCCGCCCATCCTCAACGCTTGCGCTATCGGGGGGCCTACAGTAGGTTCGCGTCGCGTTACTGCGGCGGCGACCCCAGCGCTGGCGTTGAAGTTTGGACGCTTCCGTGGTTCAAACTCGGCTGATATCTCAGGATCTGCGCTACGGGAAAGCCTCGAATCCCTCCTTGTGGCTCCCGTCGTGCCTTTGGCAGGACGGGGGCCTCGCTCCTTCCTTCTGGCGGCCTCATGCGGCCTCTGGAGGCCTCCAGTAGCCTCTTGGGACCTCTGGGAGCAAAGCTTACCACGCGGGAGCACGTGAGGGAGGTTCCCAGGAGTGTGGGTGGGAGGGCGAAGGGCGAGGGTGCGAGGAGGGGCCCAGCCCCCCTCTCGCTGCGAAGGGATCACGGCGGAGGGCTCTTGCACATTCTCTGGCAGAGGGAGGGGGAGAGAGCGAGAGAGAGAGAGAGAGAGAGACAAGCTAGGTGCGCTCGCGCCTCATCTGACATTCTATCCCTCCCTCCCGTTCCTTTCCATGGCGCTGATTTTTCTCTATCCGCGGACGCGTATCATAGCCGCAGAGAAACATCGGGACGGCGACCAACCAACACCACACACACAAACGTCCTCTGGAGACAGATGCTACTGCTGCGCTGCTCCAACAGCCGGTCACAGCCTCGGTCAGAGGAGCCGACAAGGGCCAAAGACGTCCGGAAACCTCCGCCCTCGACCCCTGAGGGTCGAGGCCAAACCTTGGCACTCCCGTCTCGCCCCTCCCTGCCGTCGCCGCCCCTCCCCCGCAGCCATCGTGGCTCAAGGGGGGAATCGCCGGGCGCGGGCGGCTCCGAGAGCCGCCCGCCTGGGCCCCCCCCCCTCCTCCCCATGCGTACCCTGCCCGCTTCATACTGAGAACGCCCGCGCGCCGCCAGATGTGCCCCTGGCTCAGCCCAGACCCCCACTCGGTGTCCAAACGTCACGACGGAAGGCTCTCGCTGGTTGTCGGATTCAAGTCGGCCCTCACGGGGCCCTGGGGGCGTGACCGAACTGATCGGGATCAGAGATCGGTCCCGGGGGAAAGGTCCAGAAACCTCCGAGGGTCCACGTCGCGGCCTCGGAGGTCTGGGAAGGTGCCCCCCGGATTCCCAGGGAGCCCCCCTCCGCTGCGGTCTCCAGAGCGCAGCCCCTCCCGAGGCCCAGGAGGCCCCAGGGGGCTCCGGAGTGGCGCGAAGAGCTGCAGGCACCTTCCGAACAAGAAAAGCTGCATCAGCATAGACCTTTGGAGGTTGGTGCGGATTTCTTGGATCGGCGCTGGACCGGAGCGCGCCAGGGGCGGCGCTGGAGGCGCCGTCAGGGGGTCCCAGCGGCGACCCAAGAAATCCGCGCGGACTTCCGACAGTTTATGATTGTGCCGTTTTTTCTTCTTCAAGCCCTTGGCCAGAGGTCCAGACTAGACCCTCTCAAAGAATCAGTTTTTCACCCCGAGACGTTTTTGGACGGTCCCGCGGCCCCGCGAGGGCCCCCGGAGCCCGAAAACGGCTCAAATCCTCCCGTCGTGATTTTGCCACGACGCGAGCATGTCTAGGGCCACGGTCCTTCTTCAGTGATCGCTGTGACTTGCAACAGCTGCAAGGTCGTTGCAAACACCTTTCGACTATTGCAAGTCACGGCGATCACTACGGTCGGGCCAGGGGCACCTCTGGCAACCCCCGAGAGATGGTCGCCCACGGCGCGGTGCTAGCCCTGATCTCCAGCGCCCTTCTGGCCCGCGCCGCTCTGGCGCTGAGCCGCGCCGACGCCGCCGAGCGGCGCGCGGCGGACCCGGACGCGGAGTGGCCGTCGCGCCAGCTGCTGGCGGGGTCGCGGGCGGACTCTTCCGCGAAGGCCCGTCGGGTGTCGGAGTAGGAAAGGTTGGAAGTTGTCGCAGGCTTTCGGAACTTCTCGTCGGTTCCTGTCGGTTTTGTCGCCTCGGCGTACCTCCCATCAGCTGCGCCTCGCCGAGAGCGTTCCGGGGGTGCCCACTCCCCTCGCTGTGGCCTTTTTGGGCCTCCTGGGCCGCCCTCGTCGTCACGGCTGGATTCTCCAGGAAGTTCTGCTCAGAACGCACCGCAGGAGAGGTCCAGGGAGTGGCGGTATCGGTACCTCCTGTTCCCCGAGGCCCGGGACAACGAAAAGGCATTGATATCGCTACCCTTCCCTCGTGTTGGCCTTTTTGGGCCTCCTGGGAGCCGCTCGTCGCCACGGCTGGATTCTCCTGGAAATTGTGGTCAGAACGCGCCCCGGGAGAGGTCCAGGGAGTGGCGGCATCGGTACCTTTTTGTTATCCCAGGCCCGGGAGGAGGCAAGGGTACCAATATCGCTACCCTTCCCCAGTGTTGGTCTTCTGGGCCACGACTGGATGTTCTTCGAAGTTCTGGTCAGAACGCACCTCTGGAGAGGTCCAGGGAGCAGCGGTATCGGTACCTTTTTTTCCCCCCACAGGTGCTCGCCAGGGCCGCGCGGCTGACGGAGCAGGCGTGGATGCGCAGCGGCCCGTCGCTGGAGCGCGACCTGAGGAACCAGTTCGTCTCGTCGGTGCACGTGGAGAGGAGGGTGCGCTCCAGGTGCGCTGCCGACCCCACGGGCTCGGGCGACTGCGCCTGGCAGCAGGAGGACTCGCTGCTGTGCGAGGCGCTGGAGCTCACCGGCCTGCGCGGGGAGCTGGGCAACTGGACGGTGCTCGAGCAGGCGACGCTCTCCGCGCTGTCGTCCGCGTGGGTGTACGGGGTCGACCCGGCCACGCGCGGGGCGATGCTCGCCAGGTGGCGCACCAGCTCGCCACAGCCCCTGGAGCGCTCGGCGGAGGAGCAGCGCCTGCCCTACCGCGCCCTCGAGGCCCGGCTGCTGGGCTCGCCCCGCCTGCGCCGGCGCGCCGAGGAGGCCTGCGACGGTCTCGGGGAGATCCACCCGGGGTGCCAGCCGGCCGCCACGCGCGCGCTGCTCTGTCAGGCCGTGGGCCAGGCGTCGGCCGTCTTGGTCGGGCTCGGGGAGCTGAGCGCGCGGCTCGAGGCCGCCGTGGTGCTCCAGGGCAGCGCTGCCGACGTCATCGACAGCGGCCTGCTCGAGCGCCTGGGCGCCCGCACGCGGCAGCTGCTCCACCGCGCGTTCGCCTTCGACATGGGGCGCTGGCTCCAGAGCGGCAGTCCACAGCCAGTATATGTTCGTATCCACCTCTTCGGAGTCGTGCCCTGGGATCTCAGGAGCGGTGGATATGGATATCTGCCCGCCCGTGTGGGCCGGCAGATATTCAGAGTCCCCGGGACACGATCCCGCGGCAGCGGATATGGACACATTCTGGCGGCACAGGCAGTGCCCCCTGGCGTGCGCTCAAGAACGAGTTCCTCTCCAACGCCGTGGCGATGCAGGAGGCGAAGAGATCGTGCCAGAGCCTCAGCGACCACGACTGCGTGCTGAGGCGCCTCGACCCGCTCCTCTGCGACCGGCTCCTCGGCGCCAGCAGCCTGGCCACCCCAGAGATCGAGCGGGGCGTGCTGGCCGTGTTCGGCGCGACCCGCGAGAGGCTGCAGGAGGAGGAGCAGGTCGCGGCGCTGCAGGACCTCGGTCGAGACGACTACCTGCGGGCGGCGCACCAGTCGGCCAGCCGCGTGGTGGGCGCTGGGGACGGCCTCGGCCCACCAGTGGAGGAGGGCCCGCCGGCGGACGACGCCGCGGAGGCGCCGGAGGCGCCGCAGGGCCACGAGCGGGACGCGTCCATCGACTGCGACGCCCGCAGCTTGCTCATCGCCAAGTGGGAGGAGCTGGCGGCACGCGCAGGGCTTCCCTCGACTCCTCCGACTCGATTCGGTTCGATGCCGATCGATTCCGACTACGATTCGATTCGGCCTCGGATTCCGATCTGGATTTCGGTTTCTCAGTGGAGGCCTCACAGGCCTGCCGGTTTCCGCCGATTCGTCTTGTCCCGATTTGGCTGCCCATTTCCGCCCGAGTCATTTCGCTTCGACTCTGGGCTCTCCCGGGGGGGCAGGGCGAGGGGCCACCCTTCCCTGGCGGAGAGGCGGTGCCCCCCGCGCTGGTGTCGGTGCCGGTCTCCAGGCCTCCAGCATCGCCTGCTCAGAACGCTGCCCCCCTCGCCCCGCGCCAGAGCTGGGGCCGGAGCCGAAGCCCAGGCCAGAGCCAATGCCAGAGCGGGAACTCGGGGGCAAGGATAGGGGGGGGATAGCCATAAGGAAGGGATGCATCGACCCCCAACCGCCCATTGATCGCTGATAGGGGTCTGATCGCCCCACCCAGCCCAGGAAAATGGGGATCTGCTATCGAGGGCCTATCGCCGATCTATCGGCGATATATGATCCCGGGTGCCAGACTGACAGGCCCCCCCCCCTCCCCCCCAGATGGCATGGGTTTCAGGGTTCCACAAGCCCCCCCCCCCCTCCCCGCCCAGATGGGATGGGGGGAGGAGGAGGAAGACGACGGCGACGACGACGGCAAACAGCCGACCACGAATGATTTCTCTGAGCGTGGAGACTCGCGCGAACACTGAGCGAGGCGCACGCCAGATTGAGCGCGCACTTGACTTCATCGGAAGAGGCCAGCCCAAACTGATTACGGCTGTTATGCACGATTGCAGATTGGCACCTCCCCTCCATCAAGTGTAGCAGATTTCGTCTTGCTTAGGACGGCGATGCATATGCCGATGTCACTGCCAATGCCGATGTTCATGTCGTCGTCGTCCTTCTCCTCGCTACCCTCCCCCTCTTCATCTTCCTCGTTCCTTTCGTCGTCGTCGTCCTCCTCCGCTGCCAACAAGAGGACGGCGATAAGTTCGGGGCCTCCCCAGCGCGCCGGAGCACCACGCCGCAGACCCTGGACCATGTATCGCCGATTCCAGGTCGATGCTTCCCCACATGCCAGTCCCCCCTAATTATCGTTGTCCCTCAGGAACCGAGGCTCGAGAAACCCAGGCCCGAGGCAGCCAACAGTATCGCCAGAACTCGCGAGGGGAAGCTTCCGCAACGATGCGCGGCAATTTTCACCTCGGGTGGCCCGACGAGCCCCGAGACTCCAAGCGGGCCTCAAGGACGGGGGGGGATCCGCCAGTGAGTCCAGCCACAGGCCAGCCCGCTGGGACCCCTTCCAGGGGGCCTGTCCGCCTGCCACCCGTGCCGGAGGTCCCCAGGGCCACGGGCCTCCAGCCGGCGCACCGGTGGAGCCCAACACCAGCACCAATCAGCCACGCGCAGAGGGGGGAAGGGGGAGGGGGGAAGGATTCTTAGTAGAAGCACCCCCTCTTCGTAGAAGGGAGGCGCGGGTCTTGTAGGGCCGGCGCCTTCTAAGAAGCAGCCTCCTTCCAAGGAGCCCTCCTCCCTCCTCCTACCCCCCTGTGCGCGCCGCCAAACCAAGATCCCTTCTGGGAAAGAAGTTCCCAAGTCTCAGTTGCATACCTGTGTTCGTGTCTTCGCGCCCGTTTGCCCGCTGTCAACGAACATGTTCAGAAAAGATGCAGGACCGCGGGCCTCCCCCTCTTTCCTTCAAGCGAGCCCTATGAGGCCAATGATGACTATGAGGCCTCTTGCCCCACGAGCCCCACAGGTCTGAGATTCTGCCGTCGGGCTCAGTGGGGCCTGCGATGATCGGCGGCCCTGGCGTGCCCTCGGGCTTTACAGAGCTCCGCCCACCCAACCAGCGTCCGCGTTTCGGTGCCGCAACATCGGCAGTGTCGGAAAGCCGACGCCAGCACCAATACCCCCACTGGAACGGCGCCCCTGAGGGTGCGTGGTCCTGCGAGGACTTTGCAGGTGTGTCCTAGGCCTGAGGGCTGAGAATCCGGAGCGCTTGGCATGATTAGGTTGCCCTGGGCCTGCCTCGGCCCTTGCCCATGGGTTTTTCGACGAGGCTCCGGACTCTGGCGCTCGTCGCTGGCCGCTTGGCTCTCGCGGGTGGGTCTTTTTGGCGGGCCTCTCAAGCAATGCTTACCTTTTCACTCCCCAGTTTTATCCCCTGCGATTCGGTGAACCAGGACGGGCCCGACTTGGCTCAAACACGATTCCAAAGGCAATGGAACAAATAGTTTCTCGGTGCTTCTCTCGGCTTTCTGTTCTCCCATCTGGAGGCCACCAGAAGGCTCTGATGGTCCCTGGCAAGCCGAAGCGGACAGTAGCATACAGAGAATTCGATCCTCGCTCAGAACGTCGATCCTGGATCAACGGTCCTCGACCCCGCTCAAGGCCTCGAACCTACTGCAGTGATCGCTGTGATTTGCAACAGTTGCAAGTCGAAGCGACCACTACAGTGGGACCTCAAGGGCAGTGCGGAGTGCGAAAAAACAAGGAGCGGCATAAACATAATTCTTTTGAGCTCCGCGAGGGTTTCTTGGATCGGGGCTGGGTCCCCTGGCGGCGCCTCTGGCGCCGCCCCTGGGTGTCCAGCGCCGATCCAAATAGTCAGCGCGGACCTTCCAAAGTTTATGCGCGTGCCATTTTTGTTCCTCGATTGAACCCCCTCGGGACCTCAAGGGGAAGTGCGGAGTGGAAGCAGAGTGAAGTGAATCAGAGGAGGAACAGGTACGTCTCGACACCGCTACCGTTGCCTCGTTTTCGCCTTTTTGGGTCTCCTACTTGGCTCCAACAAAAGTTTCCGTGGAAACTCGCAAGAGGAATAATATGTATGTAAACCCGTCGGCAAGATGAAAAGTCGCGCGCGCGTGCTCAGCGTTCGCACGCACGCGATCCCAAGACGTCCCATGGCCACAACATGCTTCCAGGAATGCCTCAGGCCACGGACGATAACGTCCAGAGGACCCAGGATGATGCCACCCCAACGCGATCCCGCCATGGATTCTGGACCGTCTCAGGCCGTCTCGCAGATGACGAAACACATGAGCAACGCGTGACGCCGAGATGGCCCGATGGCAACAAGATGGATCCAAGCGCACCCAGGGTGGCCTCATAATGACCACGCGATGGTTGCGTGATCCAAACATGACCGGGATATGATCTCAAGATGACCTCAAGACGACCCCAACACGGCAATAATACTGCAACTTATGAGCCCCATCTTATTTCGAGCCGATCCCAGCATGGTGGGATCCGTGAACGGCCCGGGATTTTGGTCTACCCCATTTTTAATGGGTGGGATTTTGATCGTCCTGAACTAAACTTATAATATTAAAGCGGAATAAGCCAGGCGGGATCCCGCCCGGCCCACGGAGGAAGACAACATTGCTAGGCTTCTACGGGGGTAGGGGGTTCGGAAGGGGCGTCGTTTACTTCCGCTGACATTGGCAAGCCTTCCGGCGGCCTTCCCCCGTCTTCCGCCTCGTTTTACTTCCGTCGACTTCCGCCGGCCAGCGTCGTGATAAAAATTCCAGGAACTTTCATTGGGCCGATGTAAGAGGCCCTTGTTTTCACGGCTGGGTTCGCCGCGAAAGTCTGGTCAGAACGCACTCCGGGAGGCCTGGGGAGTAGCGGCAGCGGCAAATTTTGTTTTCCCCGGTGCATGGGGTTCGGGGGGCGAGGTCTTCAATGTGGTGGCCTTTTTGGGGGGGGGGCCTCCAGAGGAGGAGGAGGAGGAGGAGGAGGAGGAGGAGGAGGAGGAGGAGGAGGAGGAGGAGGAGGAGGACAAGGAGGAGGATGAGGATGAGGAGGTGAACTGAGATGAACTGCAGTGGTCTGACCCGTTGTATACTTCAAGTGAGCGATGTAAGAAAAAGTGGTCGATTGCACCGACATTGTCGCGCAAGCTTTCTGCGCAAGGTCGCGCGTAGGCGCCCTCGTTTCCAATGAGGCGTGCCACGCTGGCGGTCCGCGTGAGACGCGACGTAAGGCCGCTACGGTCAGGAACTTTGGCTTAGAGTGTCGCTCCGCCGGTTCTGGCCCACCACGCTTCGGCGCGACACGCTATGCACACCCCCACTCCTAAGCGTCAGCGTCCCGAGCCTCTCCCAACATCCCACCCCGCGAGGCGGAGCGACACGCTATCTGCTTGCAGGGCATGGCGTGTCGCCGGGGCCGGCGCAGCGACACGCTAAGCAAACGTTCCTGACTCGAGGAGGAGGAGAAGAAGAAGGAGTAGGAGGAGGAGGAGAAGGAGGAGAAGGAGGATAAGGAGCACGAGGAGGAGGAGGAGGAGGAGGATGAGGAGGAGGAGGAGGGAGGAGGTGGAGGAGGAGGAGGAGGAAGAGGACCAGGACCAGGAGGAGGAGGAGGAGGAGGAGGAGGAGGAGGAGGAGGAGGGGGAGGAGGAGGAGGAGAAGGATGGGGAGGAGGAGGAGGCCAGGGAGGCCCACTTCTTTCTGTCGCTCAAGTGCACTGAGCTGCCATCCTGCGCGCCGCCTAGAGGAGACCCGGGCGCTGCCGCAGCCGCAGTTCACGCGCCAGGAGGCCCCGCTCGAGGGCATGTTGAGGCGGCTGCAGGCGACGGAGGTTCGGCGGCGAGCTGGCTGCAGTGATCGCTGCGACTTGCAGCAGTGGTAGGGTGGTTGCAACCCACATGCAATGCACTCGCAAGTGGGTTGCAAGTCCCCCCAGCCCCTCCCATCTGGGTCCGCGACTTACTCAGACTTAGAGCAGTTAGGCGGAATCGCAACCCACCTGCAGGCGCTCTGCAAGTGGGTTGACACCTTGCAACTGTTGCAAGTATTGCAAGGCGAAACGACCACTACAGCACGGGGCAATGCAGAGGGGGCGGGCCTTCCCAGAAGGCCCGGAAGGCCTCCGACCTTCTGAGAAGTTTCTGAGCCTTCTCCGAAGACGCAGTGCGGCCGTTTCTCAGAAGGCCAGAGGGCCTTTGAGAAGCCCCGTCGCCTTCCAGGAAGGCCTGCTCCCTCTCCTTCCCCCCGGGCACGCCGCCGAGAGGTGGCCCGCAGCTTGACCGAGCACACGTGCCGGGACGCCGGCGAGGTGCTGCGCCCGGGGTGCTGGACGACCGCGCCGAGGCGCCCGCCGGCCATGCCCCAGCCAGACAGGAGGGGCAACGTCCCGGGGGGGACAGGCTCGGGTGTTCGGGCTTCGAGGTTCGAGGTTCGCTTCCTGGAGGTTTTTGAGCGCCCTGGGCGCACTCGTGGTCACGGCTGGATTCACCTCGACATTTTGGGCAGAGGGCACCCCAGGAGAGGTTCAGGGGTCGATTTCGGACCCCTGATGACGAGTTCGGGGGCAGAGACCAGTCGCAGGCACGTCAGCCGAGAAACGGGCCTGTCAGCAGGTGGCCCACAGAAGTTTTCTATCCCCCGATGGCCCCAGGGACCCACGGAAGCTCTGGGGCCCCTTAGGATCTTCAAAGATTGACGACACTCGTGTTCATATATTCCTTACATATCAAATTTTATCGTACGCGATCGCTGCAGGTTAAAGAGCACACAAGGATGAGCTTTCGGTGGTCTGCGCGGAGTTCTCGGATCTGCGCTGTACCCCCCTGAGGGCGCCCTCGGCGCCGCCACTGGCGCCCTCCGCCCGCCAGGGGAGGGGGGCCCGGCGCCGATCCAAGAAATCTGCGAGGACCTCCAAAAGTTTATGCTTACGCAGTTTTCCCAACCACCCTGTGGTGGTGTTGGGTTCGTTTCGAAGAGGCAGCGCCTCGCGTCCTCCCTACTCCGCCTCCTTCTTCCCCATCCCAGACTCTGCCCTCCGCATGTCCATGTCCATGTCCATGTCAGCACATTTCTCGCACGCTTCCTGGCCCCATAGGGAGCTCCGCCTGAGTGGTAGGGTCCGCATGGCGGCACGGCACCGCGCCCATGTCTGCAACCTCTCACACGTCTCGTGGCCCCATAGGGAGCTCCAGCGAAGGCTCCCAGTGGCAGATCCGCACCGCCTCGACGCCGCGAAGCCGTCGGCGCGGGCGCGTCAGCTCAAACACCCTCGGGGTGGCCCTTCGGGGCGCCAGGAACCCACGGAGAACAGGTTGCAACGCAAACTCCATCCAAAACGTGGGGTCGAAGTCCTCTGGAGATTCCTAAGATCGTGGGCAGTTCAAGGGTGAACGAGTCGCGCGGTGTCAGACATCAGGGCCGAGCTCCACCTCTTTCGGTCTGCCGGAGTCAGCGCCTGAGGGCGCACGCGTAGATTGCGGTGCTGGCCAGGATAATCGAGCATTGTCCTCCTCCTCCTCCTCCTCCTGCTCCTCCTCCTCCTCCTCCTCGTCCTCCTCCTCCTCCTCCTGCTCCTGCTGCTCCTCCTCCTCCTCCTCCTCCTCCTCCTCCTCCTCCTCCTCCTCCTCCTCTCCCTCCTCCTGTCCTCCGCCTCCTCCTTCTCCTCTCCTGTCCTCCTCCTTCCTCCTCCTCCTCTCCTTCCTCCTCCTCCCTCCTCCTCCTCCTCCTCCTCCTCCTCCTCCTCCTCCTCCTCCTCCTCCTCCTCCTCCTCCTCCTCCTCCTCCTCCCCCCCTCCTCCTCCGAACACATCGATCTCAAGCCTCCTCCCTGGACCTCCCGCAAAGGCACCTCTTCTGCGAGGCGCTGGGGCAGACGGCGGCACGGGCCCACGGCACGGGCGGGCTGCTGCGGGCGATGGGCCTGGGCGCGTGAGCCGGGCAGCCCTCGTCGCCCCGCGGCCTGCTTCTGCATGTTGTTTAGTGCTCCTGCTGCCTCCATGCCGTCCCTCCTCCTGCCTCCCGCCTCCACCCTCGTCGTCCGCATCTCTTCTACCGCTTCTCACCTCTCTTCCTCCTCCTCCCCCCCTGCTCCTTCCCTCGTGCCTTCGGCCGCTCTTGGTCATCCTAATTCTCCGTCCTCATGTCCCCCTTGTGCTGTGCTACCGGGATTGTTTTCAGTACTATCGCTACTGCTGGGGTTCTATTGCTATCACCACTGCTGCCAGTTCCAGTGCTGCTGCTTCTGCTACTGATGTTACAACTCTACGACTGCTATCCTGCGACAATTTCCGCCATTACCATTGTTACTGTTGCATGAACTATTCCAATGAGCACGCTGCTATCACCACTTCTAGTGCTAGTGCTACTCCGGCTAATCTTACGACCACGGTCGCGACTCCTACTATGAGAGCTACCGCTACATCTTATGGCCTTCGTCACATCCCGCCACCGTGCCTGGGTTGTGGATATGAAGCCTAGTGGATGTTCGTTGGGATCTCGTGGGAGGCCTCTCGGGGGCATCTGGGAGGCAGTGTGGAGACCTCTTGGGGGCCGAATGGGGGCCTCTTGGGGCCTCTTGGTCCTCTTGGTGGCCTTCTGGGGCCTCTTGGGGGCCTCTTTGGGGCCTCTTTGGGGCCTCTTGGGGCCTCTTGGGCGCCTTGTGGGGCCTCCTCGGGGCCTCTTGAGGCGGAAGGCTCGGGTTTTTGGCTCGTGTTCCCTCGCTTAGGCCTCTTTGGGGCCGTCTCGCGGCCCTCTTGGGCTGTCTTGGGGCGCTCTTCTTCTTCTTCTTCCGCCTCCTCCTCCTCGTCCTCCTCCTCCTTCTCCTCCTCCTCCCCCCTCCTCCTGTCCTCCTCCGCCTCCTCGTCCTCCTCCGCCTCCTCCTCCTCCTCCTCCTGTCCTCCTCCTCCTCCTCCTCCTCCTCCTCCTCCTCCTCCTCCTCCTCCTCCTCCTCCTCCTCCTCCTCCTCCCCCTTGTGGCTTGAGTGCGGGCGTCACGTCCGAGCTGCGGGCGACGGCGCCCCCCGCCGGCGGCGCCGAGCCGCCCAGCAAACAAAAAGGCACGCCCGCGCTCCTCGTCGGCGGCCGCCGCCGTCGGAGGCCGCCTGGCGGCCGTGCATCGGCCCCCCCCGGCGGCCCTCGGCGGCCCCCTCGTGTGCGGCGGGTGGCCCCCTCGGGCGGCCCCTCGGGCGGCCCCCGGCA